AAATACTTAAGCAAAAAGTTAGTAATGGTGAAGGACTTGGATATAAGAAAAACCAACCTAGAAAAACAACATTTGTTAAAGCTAGGGGGAATAAAAATGCTAGGATAAATAATCAAACTAGAAGAGCACATCCTAGCAAACCTAGAACTCATTACACTCAACCATATAGGATGAATAATCCAAACGTTATTTGCCATTATTGTAATAAGATAGGGCACATTGCACCCGTGTGCTTCACCAAAATTAGGCATTTTCAACAAACGCACACACATCGCACATATGCTAACCAAAAAGGACCCAACAATACATGGGTACCTAAACCATCTCCTCGATATCTTTTTGTAGGTGTGCTTGAAGGCTTCGAGTACCTCTTGGTATCTCGATAGCGGATGCTCCAAGCACATGACCGGAGACGCATCCAAATTTAGGAGTTTAGAGTATTTCAAAGGTGGCAATGTCGTTTTTGGTGACAACAACAAAGGAAGAATCATTGGAAGTTGCACCGTCGGAAAGGACAATGCTACAACCGTTGAGAACGTTCTTCTTGTTGAGGGCCTCAAGCACAACCTTCTTAGCATTAGCCAATTGAGCGATAGAGGTAACCGTGTCATCTTTGATTCTAGTAAATGCATTGTAGAACGCTTGTGTGACAATAAGACTATTCTTTGTGGTAGTAGAGTAGATAACATTTACATGTTTGATCTTGAAAATTCCCCGTCTATCTTAGCTAAGTGCCTCATTACCAAAGAGGAGGAAACGTGGCTATGACATCGTCGGATAGCTCACGTTAATATGGACCATCTTAATAAGTTGGTTTCTAAAGACTTAGTAATTGGTGTTCCTAAACTTAAGTTTGAGAAGAATATAATTTGTGATGCATGTCAAAAGGGGAAGCAAGTAAGGGCCTCGTTTAAGTCTAAGAACGTTGTTTTTACGACTAGGCCATTACAACTTTTGCACATGGACCTTTTTGGACCTTCAAGAACTATGAGTTTAGGAGGTAATTACATTGGCTTTGTTATCGTTGATGACTATTCGAGGTTTACATGGACACTCTTTCTAGGTCATAAGTATGATGCACTTAATGCTTTTAAGAAATTTATCAAATAGGTTCAAAATGAAAAAGATTGTCACATTTCATCCATTAAAAGTGATCATGGGGGAGAATTCGATCAAGATGGCTTTGACGCCTTATGTGACGAATTAGGCATTGAGCATAACTTCTCGGCCCCCCGTACACCACAACAAAATGGCGTGGTTGAACGGAAAAATAGGTCTCTTGAAGAGATGGCTAGAACTATGCTCAATGAGACTAACCTTCCTAAATATTTTTGGGCAGATGCTGTGAGTACCGCGTGCTACGTGTTAAACCGAGCCGTCATTAGACCGATACTCAAGAAAACGCCCTACGAACTTTACAAAGGAAGAAAGCCTAACCTTTCCTATTTTCATGTCTTTGGATGTAAAGTTTTTATTCATAATAATGGAAAAGATAACTTGGGAAAATTTGATGCTAAGTCGGATGAAGAAATTTTCTTAGGTTATTCTCTTTGTAGTAAGGCATATA